GGGAGGGAAGGTGGAGAAAAGACATTTTAACCACAAGCTTGGAGGCCAAGATTCAGATTCTTTATGTGTTCAACTTGTTTCTAACCTAGGAAGTGTTAAATATGAACTCAGTGTATCTGAGAACCAACATAAAAGCAGAGTTCTGGAATTAAGCAGACATGGTTTCCAATCTTGGCTCTGCCTTGAAATAGGAGTTCTCTGAGCCTCCCTTACTTCAGAAGATTTGCTCTGAGAACTAAGTATAAAATGCATGAAGTTTAGTTTATTACTTAGCCCACAGTAGGCAGCACTTAAATTCCATTCCCTTGGGGCTGGAGAGATGGCTCAGCAGTTAAGAGCATTGTCTGCTCTTACAGAGGGCCCAGGTTGGATTTCCAGCACCCACAAGGTGCCTAAACTGTAACTCCAGTTCCAGAGGAACCCAACGCCATCCTCGGACCTCCATGGGCATTGCATGACATGGGTGTGCTTACATACATGCACGCAATACACTCATACACAGAAAATAAAAATAAAATATTTTTAAAATCCCATTTCCTTTGCCTTTCTGATGAGTCAGAACTTTGTCTTGAATCAACTAGTACCCAAGGTGCATCTTTGAGATTTCAGCTCACAAATCCAGATAAGGTGGGAGTGACCATGGTGACTCCATAATGAGGCATGAAGAACACCAACCTTAATCATTCCTCTGGATGCTTTGTTGTATGTCTTAGCCCCTCATTCCCGAGACCTATCTTCATTCCACATACTATACCCATGAGATTGGTGCAACAATTCCTACTCTTTCTTGCCTAGATAATCATACTTACATGGAATAAAAAGAAATTCAAAAGAATTCATCAATATGTCACATGCACTGGAAGCAAAAGAGCTGCTTTCAAAAACGTTTGTGTATCTCAGTTCCCACCATCTAAGGAATAAGCTATACTGCTTCCTATTTCCACAGCATTGCACAGTCATGGAGCTACTGGCTACAACTTAAAATAATAAATATTTTAAATATTAGAAGATAAATATCAAATACCAGATTGATAAATGATCTAATTTCTTAATTGAAAATATATTCAAATACAATAGAGTACATAACTACTAGATATTACTTAACTGTTGGCATGTTCCTAACTTGTCATTGTAAAAAATATTTTATTTTTAAATTTTATGTATATGAGTGTTTTGCCTGCATGTATGTCAGTACACTACATGCATGCAATGCTCACAGAGGCCAGAAGAAGGCATTGGATCCCCATGAACTGAAGCTACAGATGGCTGTTAGCAATCATGTGGGTGCTGGGAACTGACCCCAGATCCTCTGCAAGGGTAGCCAGTCCTCTTAATCACTGAGCCATCTAGGGCTCCAGCCCCTAAATTGACATTTTAAACCACATATCAAGAAGAAATTAAGATGAACCCAATTGAATTATTGTGGCATATTATAATACAGTGACAAAAAAATGCAGCATTTATCAATGTCAGTGCTGTTGAAAATAAGCACAGAGGGGAAAAAGTAGATGGACTAAGGAGAACCTAGTTAAATTCTTACATTAATTTAAAAAAAAACTAAGGCTGAGAGTATGAGGAAAGATAATAGAGAGATTTCTGAAGATGTGTACAGATAATTGCCATTGTTTCTATCAGCCCAGAAAGAAATTGTTTTCTCAGCTACACACGTTTTCAAATTAGAAAGGGTAAATTTACTGAAAATATTCCTTTTGTCAACATACAAGACAGTCTGCTTTCTGGCAAGGCAGAGGAATGTATCATTTTGATCTAGCTAATATTCAAGCTGATAGATAATTAGCATTAAAATAATAAAGACATAAACAGCAATCTAATCAACCTGAATATAATTTAACATTTGATAATTCACAGTCTTCCTATAGCTCATAGGTATGGTCATGAATGTCAGCTATTATTGTACAATACCTATTTGGAATACCATTGAATAGGTTTAATAAAAATGCATTTCTTTGTTGCATGTATATTTCAACACCAATAAAAAGAGCTCTTGACAACAGAGGCATTTTTCCCTCAACATAGAATGTGCACTGTGCATTTCTTATAGGGTATTTTGGGTTGAACATGAAGTCCCCACCCCCACCCCCACAAAAAAAAATTCTGTCTTGAGAGTCTGGTCTCCAGGGCAATGTTCAGAAGTGGAGCTTTAGGAAACTAATTGAATCATAAGAGCTGTGAACTTGTCTGTAGATTTATGGATTCATAATTTGATGGAATTATTGTGAGTTGGTGGGAAGTGGGTCTGGTGCCTAATTGCAGACATAAGGTCACTGGAGACATGCCTTTGAGATGTATTCCCTGTCCTCAGCCCCTTCTTCACTCTGCTTCCTGGCCACCATGAGATGAGCAGCTGTCCTCTACTATGTCCATCTGTCGGGATGTATTGACTCACTACATGCCTAGAAACACAGAGCCAAGTGACCATGAAATGAAATCTCTGAAACCATGTGCCAAAATAAATCTTTCCTCCTTTGATATGCTCACATATTTAGAGTGACAAAAAGTGGCTACTATGACCTATATCATTTTAGAAATTCTCATCTTTACTACATTAAAGTGACCAAGCCATGGAATAGTAGATTCAAGATATCAACAAAAATGATCTCAGAATGAGAGTGGGGCATAGCCCACCCTGCCTCTTTCTCCCCAAGAAGGAAAGGAAGGCCTCTGGGAACAGACAACAGCTACTACCCACCAAAGTTACAATCTCTGAAATTTAGTTTGCCTGTGATAATGACTTTAGTCCTCTAGACAGCAAAAATATTTGAAGCAAATCTGAAGGTATGATGCCAATAAAACTCTGACCAAATGTTATTATATATTCTAAGAGCCTCAACAGTCCATTGTGGATACATATGCCTACATATGCATGGACTATTTTGGAAGGATGCAGAAGAAAATGTTAACAGCTATAGAGTGGACTATGTAAGTGGGAGTGTGGAGCAGCTGGGAGTCTTGTCTTCACACTCCCTTGCATGATTTTTTAAAATCATATATTTTTTCGATTAAATTTAATTTAAAATAATTCAACTAATTTTACTTTTTTTTGGGTCTTTTTGAGACAGGGTCTCCCTGTAGCCACAGCTGGCCTGGATTCACTATGGAGACCAGGCTGGCCTTGAACTCACAGAGATCCTCCTGCCTCTACCTTCTGAGTGCTGGGTTTAAAGGCATGCGCCACCACACCGGGCCAGTGTCTTTAATTTTAAAGACCATTTATTAAATGCTTTTTTTGACTTACTATTAAATAGGGGAAAAGTTGATACTCTATTGTCTTCCTTCTTTGTCAGAAAAAGAAACTTCAAAGTAAAGGAGGCACTAGCCTTTATCCAATCTTGGCAGGGGGCTTGTTGGTTTACTTTGAGAGGGAGAGTCTAGCTATGTACCTGAGCTTAGATTTGAAATCAAAATTCCCCTCTTGAGTGCTCAGATTTCAATCTTGTGCTGCCATACCACAAGGATTGCAACCTGTACCACCACACCTGGCAGCACAGTGCAATCTAGAAATGGTACGATTGATAGCAAGAATCTGCATATTTCTTATGCAGACTTCATGACTTGTAATTTTACAATATTATAAAAACCCACTGTTTTATCATCGTCTATTTTAAAGTAACTTGCAGTGACTATTTTCATATATACAGGTCCACATGTAGAATCTGTGTCGTGCAATACAAAATTACATGTTTTCCAATTGTGATTCTTTATAAGCTTCAAAATAATATGATTTCTTTCAGCTTTAAAAAAAGGTATGTTTCTCTTTTATCCAAATTCACACTCAGCATATAATTCATTCACACATAATGAAAAAGCCACAAATAAACTACAAGTTATTTGCAATTACTATCCACTCTTCTTTTAACACAGAAATCTCCCTATTGGCTTTAAATCCTCATGAGACAAGCCTAACTAGTACTTGGACCTAAATGGATATGTGCACAGAAACTAATGCTGGTAAAAGAGAAGATGTGTATTACATGATGCTTGCACAGTTTAAACCTAAACAAGCTTTCTGGATGTAGGCGTTTACCCAGTAAGTCAGTAGGTTTCGTAGCAGGCAGTTCCAAGTGCATCTTTCACTGTCTGTGGTGTGTAGTCTGTGTATCCACATAAGCGTGTGTATTCACATCGACTGTTCTACCAAAATCAGCTTTAATCTCTTATGTGAGTATTCACATGAATCTATGCTGAGAGGCCCGTTTCCAGAGCCAGTGGGGGCTCTTACCTGAAAGAATTACCTCCAAAGTCACGCACCCAAAAGATAAACTTTCAAACAGGAAATAACCTCCGAGTGGAAGGAAGACAGAAGTTGGGGAGAAGAAAAGCTTAGAATTCCTTGGCAGGTGGATAAAGGCTATTCCTCTGGAGGTGCTAGGGAAGTCAGGGAAACGTTTCCCAAGTGCGTGTTTTCTGCAGTGCAAACTTCTGAGCCCTTCAGTCATTCTTTACTATGCTGCTGGATCCGAAAAAAAAAAAAAACTCTGCCTGCCTACCTGGAAAGTTCACCATCTCGGGATTTGGGGGCCATTTAGGTCGGAAGGGGATTGATTTTTTTTTTTTTTTTTTTTTTTCCCCACTCGATAGTAAACTGTGCCTAACCTTTGCTGTTGCGGAAAAGCTGTGCTTTCTACGCTGGAGAAAGCACAGCCATCCTGCGGGTCTGCATTTATCCTGAGTCCTCCCCTTCCTCCTCCCATCAACCGATTAGCAGAGAAAATAAGGGAAAACATCCATCAAACCGCAGAGGCGCAGAGCGCAGAGCGCAGAGCGGAACTTTTCCTCCCTGTCTGGGGGGAAGTCACTGCTGCTTCTCAAAGCCAAGAGCTGAATCTGGGAACCTCCGGACTAGGAAGGAAGGTTTGGCATTGAAGGAGGTAGGAGAAAACAATGCGGAGCCTGCGATGCTTCGGGTCCCCCTACATCCCGAGGGGGTCCCCCAACCGCCCACACTCATCCATGCACTGGGGCTCTGCAGCTTGGTTTACCTTGATGATGCTGCTACGCCGGGGGGTCGCTCTTGCAGCCTCCAGGAGGCCGGCCTCGCTGTCCGCTGGGACCCCCAAGGCACCGGGCAGAGCGAGCCCGCTGCGACGGTCCCTCATCCGGCTCCCAGAAGCCGCTGGAGCAGTGTCCCCGGAGGCAGCATCCGGGCCCGCTCGGGGGTCGTCTTCGCTCACCGCAGCGTCAGGAGGCGCCGGACCCTCCCTGCCGGCCTCGCCCTCCGCCATGGTCAGGCACGGTTCGGGGTCCGGGGGGAGACCGAGCGCCCGACAGCAGCGTCCAGCCCCGGCACGGGTGAGCTCCGGCACAGCGAGGCAGCCCCGCCAGACTTTGTTTCAGCGCCTGGCGGCGGCGGCGCGGACGACCGCAACTTTCTGGAGAGGAGACATCACTCGGGCAGAGGCGTCCTCGGGCTGTGGTCCAGGAGGTCAGCGGTCCGGCTGGGGCCGGCGGCGGGGGCGGGGAGAAGATGTGAGCGGGAGGGAGAAGCAGGATAAAGGAGCAGGAGGTATCGGAAACGGGATGCGAACGCCTGCTCTGCGCCAGACAAAAGGCAGCGGGCGGCGGGCCAGGCGGCCTCCGGAGCCCAGACGCGCGCGGCCCGAGCCGGCGACTGCGGGCGGGCCACCCGCCACCTGCCCGCGGACCGCAGCGCGGTCCAGGAAGTGCGGCGGCGGCGGCGGCGGCCTCCACTCCGCTAGGCTGTGACAGGGAGGGAAGACTTGTTTTGACAGCCCGTGGGGATTGGCAGGCGTCTGGGCCTCTCAGGAGCCTCGCCTCGCAGGGGGGGTTCGGCGCGACCAATCCTCACTGCGGAGGGGTGTGCCGGAGCGCGAAGAATGGAATGCGTTCTGCAGCCTGGAGCCCGCCCGACCCGCTCCGTACTCCAGAGAGGGTGTGCGCCCAAGTGCGCACCCGCGGGCGCTCGCTTACGTTTTAGGAAGTTTAGAGGTGCGAAACAGCAAGGAAAATGCAATAAAATGCTGGGGGAGTAGAGGACAAGAGGAATCAGGCTGCAAAACAAAGCAATCTGGAAGAAAGCGGGAGTTGAGTATGAATGTCAAAGCGTTTGGTGTGGCAGGGTGTAGCTTGCACGGTCAGGGGTTAATTGCAGGGGCTCTTGTGCCAGTCCTTAGAAGTCAAGTCCACGCAGAGATAAACTCGGGTTTACTGTGCCCCTGGAGTTCCTTAATTTGCTTCAGGGTCTATGAACGGATTCTACACTCACTTTACAATCTGAATAAATATGACAAGAAAAGGAGTTCTGTAAATGAGGAAACAGCCCAACTAAATCCCTCTGGAGATGACTCCTACTAAGAAAGCACAGATATGGTGGTGAAAGCACAGATATGGGTAGGGTAGAATGCTCTACCCTAAAGCATTCCTATTTGACAGAATTCAGTCTTTTTCCCCAGAAGATTCTACACAAGCCTGTTTTGCTCCTTTCCACCAAACTGGCAACCAAGATGAGAGATCTCTGCGTGAAGCATTGAGTCAATGCAGTTGACCACAGCATGCTCAAGTGCAGACAAAGACTCTAAGGTTCCTGGTAGGATGGAAGGCGTGACGTTTTCATTTAAAGGATCTGGGGCATGGAGGGGGGGGGTCTATGTAAAACCTCATATATCGCATTAAACATATTTCAATTACTAACGATTTCATAATTCAAGATTCTGCTTCTTCCTTTACCTGGCCAAAAGCACAGGAAATTCTTTAGCCCTTTAGGCACAGAATTTTGTTAGTCTCTTGGCATTTTAAGGATGCCCTGGGGACTTGGGAATCATCTAGGGAAATTTTTTAATAGATGAGAGGAAGGCTCAGGAAGCCTCGTCTACTGATTAGTGCAGAGCCGAAAGTAGACCTGCTACCCAAATCCTTCAATAATATCTTCACTTCCTTAATCTAGCTCCCCTGGAGCTACAACCAGTCAGAACTGGATGGGTTTCTTGGGAAGATTCATATTTGACATTTACCATCTTCTAAGGAAAACTGAGAAGGCTTGACGTTGCCTTTTCTTTAAATATAAATGCAGTCCTACAGATGAGCAGCGCCCTCTGGTTTTAGAATCAACACCACCCTCTAGTGAGAGTATGAGAACTACAGCCAAAGTCACAAATGCTTCCTGGCGGTTCATCCACAAGACACAGGAAAACTGCATGTAAATTTGTTTTCCAACCAATCTGCCTTACCAACAGACTTAAAAAAGGAAATAAAAGGGTGCCTGGATTTTAAAGCACCATACAAGTCCTTCACTCTCATTGTTTCAAGGAATTCTCATCCATATTATATAGAAAATATTTTTATTTTGTCCTCACAAATATAACCTATTTAGGCTATTGTTTTCCTTTGATATTCAACTCTTACCACATCTTTTACAGATGTCAGTTCTTCATTTTTCTTTATTACTCTACTAAAATTTCCACTTGCGAATTGTCTTCTGAAAACAGTAAAGTTGCTGTTATCTTACTTGTTATCTTGTCCTATGGCATATATAGTATTTTCTAGCATTTCCTATTCTACAGGTTTATGTCTTTATATTCATTTTAAGGTGTCAAAATTAAATTAACAAAAATTAGTTTAAAAAAATTAATTACATTCCCTAACATTTAAGGTCAGTGGCCTTCAAATAAGGAAAGGCCAGTATACAGTTTGCAAAATGTTTTATGTTTCAATACTACAATGTCCAGTTGGACTATCACATATTCCCTTCCTCAACAGTCTCCCCTCATGCCTTTCTGTCAATAAAAAATGCACAAATACTGCTGAAACTTTGATCTGAGCATCTATCCATAAAGGTTGTCTAAGTCACTCTGCCTTGAGAATAGAATTGGAGGATGGTCTAGAAAGTCTTTCACTCTGGTGTCTTCTGCCATAAACTCATAAGATTTCTCATGCCTGCAATTTAAAAATTAAATTTAAATGTGCCCTGTGTACCTGCTCTTACCCAAGGAAAATCCTCCTCTTTGGCAACTTTGAAGAATGAGAGAAGGCCAGACATGGTAGCATATGCCTTTATATTTATTTATTTATTTATTTATTTATTTACTTATTTTGGTATTTTTGAGACAGGATCTCCCTGAGTTGGCATGGAACTTGCTATATAGAGAAGGCTGGCCTCGAACTCACAGAGATCTGCCTGCCTCTGCCTCCCAAGTGCTAGGATTAAAGGCACATACAAGTTCTATGCCAGCTGGGATTACAGGGAGACACTGTCTCAAAAAGCAAACAAACAAAAGGAGTGAAAGAAGGGACAGATTTGACCACATTCTTATTCCTACATTAATAATCCCCTTGCCAAATTATTTCCACCCACGATTTTGCTTCCACTCAATCTTTTCACAAATCCTGTTGGGGATCACTGGATTGGTGGATTGGGAGATGGGTATGTACTGGGGTGGAAAGATGACTGGTGAATAGAAAAATGGATAGACTACTCCAAGGTCACACCACTGAAGAGAGGGTTCTGACAATAAATCTCAAGTTGCCCTACTACGCTTCACACATGCCATGTCAATTAAATTACTCTTGTTTTTTTTTTTCTTGTGGGTTATTATCACTGTGGCAAACTGTCCCATTCATGGAAATGTTTAATTATATAGTCTGTCATACTGAGTCCTATTTGCCTCACTGAAAATATGGGACATAATTTCTATATGAGGGGAAACTTTGCCAGTGTTGGTCATTGGTGTACCTCTAGCATCCAGAACTGGCACAAAGTAGGTGCTCCATAAGAATGTGGAAAGAGGATTTCCATAGTGTTCCAACTTGACAAAACAATTACTTTGATAAAGAAAAATGATCCTGTCCCTTCACATATAGTAGGATTTCTAATACTCAAGGATGATCGAATTCCATTCTACAGTAGAAATCAAAGATCAGAGTAAACCATGGCAAAATAAGCAAGGTGTATTCATAAACTGAGTAACTAAAAGTCTGAGATTCAACTGAAAGACAGCTGGATAGAAACTTCAAGGTCTAGCAAATTGGAACTATATAGCCGAAAGTCAAAGACCAGATAGGTCACCCTGATTCCTCTGGTCTAGGGAAGTCACTTTAAAACTCTGGAACTAAGAAATATCCAATGAAAACACTAAGACTTTCCCCATACTGTCAAGAAATCACAGTAGAAGAGTCATTCCGATGACTGCTTTCTGTGTTCCAGATAATCGTCTATAAAGAATTCTGAGCTTGACTTTACAGATAAGGAATCTAAGGATCAAAAGTTTCAAATAAAGGCTGGTGAGATGGTTCAGTAGGTGAAGGCACTTTCTGCCAAGCCTGATGACCTGAGTTCGATCCCGAGGACCTACATGGTAGAAGGAGAAAAAACTCCTGCATGTTGTCCTCTGACCTGCACACACGTTTGTAGCACAAGCGCATGCACATAAAAATAAATAAATAAATAAGCCAGGCGTGGTGGCTCATGCCTTTAGTCCCAGCACTCGGGAGGCAGAGGCAGGTGGATCTCTGTGAATTCGAAGCCAGCCTGTTCTACATAGTGAGTTCCAGGACAGCTGGGGCTACAGGGAGACCCTGTCTCAAAAACAATAATAACAAAATGGGTAAGTTGAGATGAAGAGAGAAATGTTAGGGCGTTTCAGGCAGTAATAATAAACAATAAATAAATGTAATAAAAATTGTTTCAAGTAGCTTGCTGAGAGCTACAGCCAACTGAAAAGCAATGGAATCTGGATTTGAGCCCCAGACAGAGACTCGAAACCTGTGTTCTTCCTCCTGTATGGGCTTCCAATAACGTGAAAGTGCAGTCTAGCAGTGGGGGGCCTGGAGACTGAAAAACTCTGCCTGCAGATCTGGCAACCACTTAAGTTAACCATGAAGACCTCTTTCTAGCAATGCCAGCCTCACCTCTGCTATAGGTTGGATCTTGGATGTCCTTCAAAGGTTCTTGCATTAAGGGCTCAGTCTCCAGCTTCACACTATTGGGAGGTGGCAGAACCTTAGGAGTTAGGGCCTTTGGGGAATGTTTAATGGCATTAGGAGCACACCCTCAAAGGAAATGGTATGACTCTTATATTGTCTTTCTCATTCTGATTCCCAGTATCCATGAGGTTCTATCATGCATTCCACACCTCAGGCCCAGAGCAACAGGGTCAATCAGTCATGGACTGAAATCTCCAAAGCTGTGAACCAAAATCACCTTTATCTTCCACATGTTGATTTATCTCGGTTATTTGTTACATTATTGGAAAACAGATTAACACAACCTGTATGTTATCAACATGACTGATTCATGAAACACATACACTCTCTCATCCACCTTTCTATAAAAAAGTTATATTAATGTTATAAGCCAGTTCTCTTGATAAGCTCAAAAAAATACATTGAATGTTAACCAGGAAAACAGCACTTTCAGTTGAGTTACACCCATGCTCATAATGAGCCATTCCATTCCAAAATGCACTATAATCATTGTGATTTACTAGTACAAAAACCCCACAAAATTTGTAGAGTAATTATAGTACAAATATTATGGAAGAATAAATGCATGCATAGTTGACAAAACATAAGCAGAACTTAAAGATGCCTTATTAAAATTCAATGTCTTTCTTGAAAACAACAGTGTTGCTTATGTTATAAATTAAGTGGGAAATTTCAGTAATAAAAGCATAAAAATCACCTAACCTTATTTGAAAGTACACAAAGATTCCATTCCCTGATAGGCCTTACAAAAATGAGAA